CCGGGGGGATTTCAGAGCTCTCTGGATGTGACATTTGGGGACAGGGGCAGTGGTGGCAGTGCTGGGTGTGATTGTCCTGAATCTTTCCCGACAATTCCCGATCCTCCGATTCCCCTCCATGACTCAGCAATGCCAAAGGATTTTTCCTTTGGCATCCGGGAGGAGCTTCAGGTGCTGACTCACTTCAGTGCCAGGAGGGGCAGACAAGGAATTTGGGATTTTTCCCATTCCTGGGCTCAGTTCGGCTTTGTGTCCTCTAGAACCAAAACCTTTCTAATGCAGATTTTAGGAGCAGGGCTGTAAAAACTCCGGGCAGGAACAAGAAGAGACATGAGATGGTGTTATTGGAATTATTTTATTTCCCAGGTTTATCAGGAAACAGCAGATTCCTTATTTGTGAGCAGCTGGAGTTGCTCATAGATATGGAATATAAAAATTTTTAAAAATAGATAAAAAATAAGTTTAAAATAGAAATATAAATAATAAAAAAATAAGATAAATATAAAAATATTTTTAAAAAAATATTTATTTCAAACTTATTTCAACCGTCTGAACAGCTGGAATAATTGGGGAAGCACATCTGGGTTGGGGGCTGTCCCTCCCCTCCCAGGGGCACGGGGAGGGAGCTCGGGTTGCTCCGGGAGGAATTTTGCAGCATCCCACGTTCTGCACCACCCAATATTTGGAATTCAGCGTGGGCTGGATGATCCGAGCTGTGCTTTAATAAAACCTCAGAGTGTGAAACCCCTGGCGGGTCCTGTGGGGCTGCAAATTCCCGGCTGTTCCCTCCTAAAAATCCGCATTTCCCGGGGGCAGGCGGGGCCGGCCAGGTGAGAAGGTCCCCGGTGGAGCAGCAAGGGAACAGTTTTTGGGATGGAGCTGGGCAGATGAAATAATTGAACAAAAATTCCTAATTTTTCAAGGATTTCCTCTTCAATTTCGTCCTCACCCGGGGGGTTTTGGTGTGGAATGGTGCCAAGTCCAGCCCAGGCTGACCCCACTGTGCACGGCTCAAACCTCTTGGGTTTTCCTTTCCGTGTCGCTCCTAATTAATTCTTTGTCCGTAATTGTGCCTTGTCACGATGAACGAGTGATTAACGAGTGATTAATTTTCCCTCCAGGCAGTTATTCCTGGCGTGGCACAGCCAGAGCAGGCACCCGTGGCTTTAGGATCAGTTTTTCAAGGGTGGCTCCAGGTTCTTTTCAGCTGAAGGAGGTTTGGTTTGGATTAGAAAGAAGCAGAAGATTTTTTTTTTTTTTTTCCGCCCGGGGGAAAAAAGAAATCCCCTGCTTGTCTGTGCAATATTCTGTGTTTAATAAGAGGAGGCTCATCCATTAAGGAGAACTGGAACCCTCTGTGCTGGTTTTATAGTGACAGGTGTTGGTGAAGGGATTGGGGCTGGATGGATTCTTTAAATAAATTCTTTTTTTTTTTTTTTTAAACTATCTCTAAGCCGCAATTCTGCTGCTAAATTAGGATTGCTAATGAATGTCCTGACAAGCAAAGATCACATTTATTCCCAAGATTTATTCCAGTCTCCATCTCCTCACCACAGCTTTGGTTCTCTTCGGATTCTGGTGGTCTTTGAGACCCTGCCTTGAACACCAAAATGATATTTAAGGTGATATTTCTGGATTCAGCTCCTGAGTTCATAAAATTCCAGAATCCTGGATTGGTTTGGGTTGGGAAGGGATCTTAAATCCCAAATCCAGAGTCACCCCATCCATGGCAGGGACACCCCCAGGGGGATCCAGCCTGGCCTTGGGCACTGCCAGGGATCCAGGGGCAGCCCCAGCAAATCTGGGAATTGCAGCCCAGGCAGGAATTCCTTCCCAAGATCCCAGCCCAATCTCCCCTTTCCCAGTGGGAGCCATTCCCTGGGTCCTGTCCCTCCAGGCCTTGTCCCCAATTCCAGCTCTCCTGGAGCCCCTGCAGGGACTCTGAGCATTCCCTGGAATTTTCCCTTCTCCAGGGGAACATTCCCAGCTCTCCCAGCTGAGCTTTTCCATCCCTCTGCTCATCCTGGAGCCTCCTCTGGATTTTTCCAGCAGCTCCAGGTCCCTCCTGTGCTGAGACCCCCGAGCTCAGAGCTTTAACTCTGCTACAGCCGAGGAGAAAAGTGGTGACTCCTCCTAAAAAAAAAAAAAAAAAAACAAAACTGCAGAGAAATCAGAATCTTGGGAAGGACGGTTGGAAATCTCTTCCATGAATCCTAAAAGGTGAATCTGAGAGAATTTTGGACAGCCTGGAGCTGATTCCAGCCCATCCATGGAGCAGAGGCTGGGCTGAGCCAGGTTGGAGAAAATCCCATTCCTGCCTGCTGGGGAACATTGGGATAACGCTGCTCCAGCCCTCTGCTCCCACCCCAAAACTGAACGGAGCCCCCCGAGGGAAATTCTCCATCCCGGGAGATCCAGGCTGATCCCACCCGGCAATGCTGGCCTGAAATCTGAACCCAGCACGGATCTGGAGACGTTCCACTGAAAATTCCCCAAATTCCCAGCGGGCTGTGAATGAGGTGGGAACGCTGCTGCTCCTCCGGGATGGACGGGATAAAAAAAAAAATCCCCAAAAAAACCGCAGCAATTCCTCTCCCAAAGCATCCCCGGGCTGGCAGGGACTGTCAGGGAGCTGGAGCTGCTGGAAAAAGCTGCAGACAGAAGAGGAATTCGAGGAGAAAGGAGTGAAAATGAGCTGGCAGGATGCTGAGGTGACTCATCAGGTGCATCTTGCGAAGTCTCTTCGGGAGAAGTAATGAAACCGCGTGTTCTAACAATATTTGCACTGCAGCAGGGAAAGGCATAAATATTGGGATCAATTAATGAAATTAGAGAATTTGACCAAAAAAGCCCTCGTGCTGGCTCAGAAACCATCCCTCTTCCTTTTTGCTGGTGTCAGTGCCGTGCAGTTGGAGAGGGAAATCCCTGCACTTGTGTTTCCCGAGCCGGGGAATGGAGATTTGGGCAGCGCTGGGGTCACTGGGATGTGCTGGGATGGGGCACCCGGAGCTCAGGGAATTCCACCTTTCACCCCATGGAAATTCTCCAGGCAGGCAGAGACCTGGCCCTGGAACCTCCTTCCCTTGGGGCTTTTGGGATTTGGAGCCATCCGGTTTTTACCACCCCGAGGATTTGTCCTTTGTGTCCCCCCAAGCTCCGATTTCCACCTGGAAAAGGGGGAGTGGTGATTTTTCCTTAGAAAGGGAATTTTTCCTGTGCGTTCTGTGACGTTTCAATCTCCAATTCCTCGTCACCAGCAGTGCACGGAGCGTGACACAAACTGGGAGTGAAATTTGGCGTTGTTGGTACGGATGGATCAATTAATGCAATTTACAGCAGATTAATCACCTCAATTCTAATTTTAATGGATTTCTATTTGGGAATAGCAATAAACCTGGGCTGAGGATTAATTAACAGCTTGGCAATGACGAGCTCAGCGGGGTGAACACCTGATTTGCAAGGTGTACCCCAAATTTTTTGGGGGTGGATAAATCAAAAAAAAAGAGCCATCACCATTCTGGGATTCAGCAGCAGAAACAGGAACAGAACTCCCCAGGTTCCCCTGGCCCAGGGTTGGCTCCAGCACAGCTCTCCTTGGAATAATTCCCCTGGATCCTGGCGCCCTCCCCTCGAGAGGATCGTGATAAATTGGAGAGAAGGAAAAAAAAAAGGAGCCACGAGAGATTGGCAAAGGAGCCTTGCCAGGCTCCTGGCTCGCAGAAAATCTGTTTTTTTTTTTTTTAATTTAAATGGGGGTTAAAGAGTGGATTTACAGCTTCAAATACCTGAGGGGAAAAGCAAACCCAGGCAGAGGTGCTGGGGATGAATTTGAATTTTTACCAGCAAAACCCAAAATGTGCTGGGACGTTGCAGAGTCCTGGCTTTGCACCCAGCCCTGGGATGCTGCAACTGCGGGGTTTGGGGGTCAGAATTTGGGTTTGGGGGTC